TGTTGACAGAATGAATGCGCGTCCTCCAATTGACGTAGATCATACCGGTACTGCAGCCCACCCGACTCTCGATACCAGTACTGGTCCGCAGAACAGATCTAAAAGTAAATATTGGGAAACTTTGTCTACAGCGAAGAAAAACATTCAAACCCATGATAAGTATGAATATAAATGGCGCGTGCACATTCCTTGCGTAAATTAAACTCGGGGACATGAGACTATGCACTTGTACTTGTTACGACTGTGATAATGCCTAATCTAGCCGGCCTCAATGATGTCACAAGCGGTTCCATTCAACGCGTGAGGATTGGCGGCAGCGGGTCTGGAAAGCTCCACCCAGTCCTTTCTCCAGCGACGGAGACCGAAGATAGAAGGTCCAAGAATTTTTTCCATTTCTTGACGGATGGTGTCGAGCCAGATTTTCAGTTGCCCTCCTCTTCGACGCCCACAGGTGAGCTGCGGCGCCGGATCGAAAGCAGCATAGCAAAGCTTGTGGGGCGGACGACAGAGAACTTGCTCATACCACCTCAGTCACCTTTCTTGAATGGCCTGGGATATCCGCGCGACACAATCGCTATACTTAACTCGTAGGATGGTACTCAGACAGCGGTGGTCAAAGACTTCCAGACTTCGCTCATCTTCAGCGCGCAAAGACCAGCATTCATATCCATAGAGGAGGACTGACCGGATGGATTCACGGTATACACGAATCGCCGTGGCGATGGAGATGTCGCATCGGATCCATAAGCGCTTTCGAAAGATTGAGATAACCCAATGAGCAGCATCGATGCAGAAGACAATGTCGTCCTTGCGCTGCCCAATTGGTAGCAGCCTCGCCCCGAGATATTTAAAGCTGTCCACTTCTTCAAGTTGATGGCCATTAATCCCCAGAAGTGCCTTCTCCTGGTCAGGGATGCAGCTGGAGAATAACTTATTCTTTCCGGTATTTATGGACATGCCAACCGACATAGCAATATCCTTCACCCGCGACACTACAGACCGCAGACCAAGAAAGCTTGAAACTAGCAGCGCAATATTACCGGCGTAGTCGAGATCACTCAGCCGGCATCCGGGTGCAAGCTCAACACCGTCGTCTCTATGAAGGGCCCTCCCAAGAATCCAGTCAATGGCGTATTCAAACAGAATGGGCGACAGGACGCAGCCCTATCGGACACCAGACAGGATATCGAACGGTTGGGAGATATTGTTGTGGGCTAGAATTCGTGCGGTGGTGGGACGATAGTAGGCCTTATTCATGGCAATCAGTTTGATCGATATCAGACTCTGAAGGAACTGCCCACAGAAGGCAGTCGCATCGCATTGCAGGTGACCTGCCTTGGTTTAGAGATAGGTTTATAAGATAAATGCCCTTGAGGGTAATATGTTTAAACGAACATTAATAAGAAAATCTAAGGCTAGCCCAAGACAACTCAATGTAAAGGGCAACTATTTTACCCTCACAGAAGACAAAAACGTTAAGTAATGTTAGAAAATGGCGGCGGAGAGTATCATAAAAGGACTCTGCAATCAGAGTGTGGGACGGCTAAAAATGGCTTAAACTGACTTTAAATCATAAGAGAGTGAAGACACAAGGGTATATAATGGTTGTTGGATGAACTCCGGGAGTTCGCCAAATGACCAACTAAATCGCGGGGTTCAGAACAAGGGTCATATAGACTTGGGCTGGGATATGGCTCACTGACAAGGCTTATTAATTCTGAAATGGCCGTCCTAGTCTTTCGTGTTCCTGTTGATAGTCCTCGTTTATTCAGAAGTGCAAAAGAAATCAGGACGTCTAGTCGAACAAATTGCGGCAATCCTTATGGGCAGAATATATCAATACTTATCGTGACGGACTTAAGTAAGCCATTGCGAGGGTATTACTGTCAGGACACACGCACAACAGCTGTATATGCGGTGGAAAGCATCAACCGCAAGTCCAAAACAAGCAAATGGAACTTACCTCTGCAGTCGGGTAACGAGTTTTGATACACGTGGCGAGGTAGGACTTCCCCGAACCGGGCGGACCGCGAAGGACAATCATGAACCGCGAGCGCACAATCCACTGCCCCAACTCCTCATCTGTCAGAAAGGGAAAGTCCACATGTTCGTGCAGCAATTTGGCCGGCAAATAAGACGAGACCACTTGGTTGGAATTACTATGCTGTGTAGGCAAGAGAGAGTAGTCGCCGCTTGCTGCGGGAGGGACCTCGTCAACTAATTGCACAGCTGCCGATGTGTCCTTTACATCGACAAGGTTAGTAAAGCATCCATCAGTGAGGCGATGAAAGCGGCGGCTGTTGATCTTTTGGACTCCCCATAGCTGCAGGGGACAAATAGTTACCACACCGCCTCCAACTTTGCAACAGCCAGCGCCCATCTTGCGTCTGCGCCTTCTATGCTTCCGACGCAGATTACTAAATAAACATGAAAAAGAACGGCCGGATAAAAAGAAGTCAGTCCTGCAGGGGGCTCAAAAATAAACTATCTTCAAAAAAAACAAGAATATGTGGATCTTCCCATTATAGTGGCTCTATAACAGCCAACACAGCTATTGGCAGAGAGCTAAGATATAGCACCGAGTATATATCATTCAGTATATGAATATATTTAAAGTAAAATTGCCATAACAGTCGAAAAACTCTCCCTTAACTAAACTAATGGGAACTAGAAAATATTGTTACCTATAACTATATATCCCAGGGTTCTCACTTCACGAGGATTCTTATAGATAATTACTGCAAAAGAACGCCAAAGGCACATATTGGGTGGCAGGAGATCGTAGACAAAGATTATGCTCGCGGGGAAAGAGACATAATAGCTGGAACAAGAACCTTAGTAGCCCGAAGTTTCGAATTTCTATTGGAATCCATCATCAGAGCCAGGTCAATAAAGATCTTGATCCAAGGATCACATCTCCTTCTTTGTGACTTCTTTCTGGAACTCGCCTCTTCGGTTCTATTGGAAAATTTTATACTGTTTGGGTGTCCATGTTATGGACATTCTTGTCCAAAGAACGTTCCATTGCCCGGTTGTCGGAGGGAAGGATATACATAGAACATGGTGTTTAGACTGATTCCACATCGATTCCAGACTACTTTATAAAGTCGAAAAGGGGAACGTATGCGTGGTGGATCTAGTAGCCAACTTCAGTCATGTCTTGTTTACTTGTAAAAACAAGGATAAACTTACTAGCTTCGGATTTTCACGGTCTATCGTGATGGAGCTGATACCCTTTACCACAAAGCACGATACGGTTATATACCTTTTGCAATAATTAATTTTAAAAACCAGTCGAGATGCCCTCGGACTCATCTAGGATACAGCGAACTGCATTGCTCCAAACGAGCTTTCCAGCGGCTTTACGTTATAAGCCCATTCAAGATCCACAGATTGAAATGGATCATGACTTCGTTATCCATATACTCAAATGAAAAGGGATCATCCGCGGAATTGGATGGACAAAAGTAGTTATGCGCAAGCGACGTTAGTATAAAGCTTTTACTACTGGTGGGTGAAGCAGTTATGATGAACAACGTCGTAAGCACAAGAACATAGAGGCTATAGGCAGCAAATTCAAAGACGAGTATTAGCCAGTTAGCAGCTGAGTCCTACAGAAAGAATAGCTATAGATGCACCCCAGATTAACCTTCGCAACACCAATCCTCGTCTGCAGTTGGCCCTTAGACAGTATCGTCAACACGTAATCAGTTCAGTGAAAATAAATCATGAAGGGTTTATCTGTCATGTCAGTGCAGCCTACGGATAAATAATCCCAGGCTGAGTTATGACACAGTTGACGAGTTGCGTTACTGATGGGCTCTACAGTAGTTTAAAGTGGAAGCGATCGCAGAGACGATTTAAAGAAACTGAGCGCAAGCACGATCGATCGAATAGATACAGGTATACGTAAACATGTACAATCAAGTCAAAAATTACGGGGCGGATTTTTTACATTTAACATGAAGGATTCTGCCCTTAGTGTTGAGTGAATCTGTTCTCGTGTCAAAAAAAAATCAGGCACAGACGCAACAGTGGCAGGCGGAAACATCCCATATGTGGACTATACAACACGGGTTCCCAAGCGGCACGCCTTCACGTTGGTGGAACCGACTGTACCCATCTCCGGATGGACTCATCTCCGGACGGACCTATCTCCGTATGGACGTATCTCCGGATGGACTACAGCAAAGAGCTGCACTTCCCTTACCCCCCCCCC